GATGGTGCATATCGATTCCATCACCTCGTGTCGTGGGATCATGTCGCTTCCATTGCCCTCAACTTGTGTTGCACTCCCCTCATATCAAGGGCACACTCACAGAGCCAGACCTAAAATGGCCATGTGAGGCCGATCCAGTGGTAAAGAGGACGATGACCCACACAGATTCAGCTCAGAAGTCGACCCGAAGCCGAGTCGGAGTCAAGTTGACCCCAAGTGGAGGGTGGTAGGTAGCACAGACCAAGTTGATCTTTGACCAGACGATGACAACGACGATGACGACGACGACGTGGACGTTGAGCGAAGAGACGATAGGATCCCGTTCCTCACATCAATCCATCCTTTGTTCTCTCATTCACTCGTTCACTCGCTCTCAAACACTGTATCTTCTCGCATTCAGTGAAAAAACCGAGTTGTCATCCCTGTCGTTTTCCTATCATTCCCAAACGTGGATCAATCGACCATCTCCCAGAGTCGATCGATCCCCTTTCCCCCTCTCTCCCCTCCCTTGCATCCTTCGCCCAATACATGTCCCACCACGCCTCCCTTTCTGACTTCCCTTATCATTCAATCCTGATCCATTTGGCTTAGCATTCACGCATCCCTTCCAAGGGTGGTTTGGCACCCGATCGCGGGTCGAGGAGGTTACCCACGTTTCAAAGCTCGGAAGCAACAATGCGGGCTTCCTTGGATCCATAAGAAGCGAAGCCCGACCCCTCGTCCCACTTGACCGCTCTGGTCTCGGAGGCAAGGTGAGCTGGCTGGGTGGGCGTTGGGTAGTGGGCGGGCAAGCTGTGCACGTTGCTGCGACTAGGCATGAGCTGACTTAGGTGAGCTGAAGCCTGAGTAGGCGATGGCATGGACGGCATAACCACGTTGGTCGGAGTCGGAAGCCTGTCGATCAACCTGGGGGCGACGGGAACCTTGTAGGAAGGGCTGGGTGGAGCGGCAGACTCGCCCACAACCTTGCTCGCGCCACCCTCCAAGTTGAACGGCTGGAAGCGTCCTCCCATGTCCTGGTCAGTTGGGAGATCGTAAAGGTGAGAGATATCAAAGAGCCTGCTGCCTCCATCCCACTCGGCGCCGGCCGATCCCCAGCCGAGCTCGATCCTGGATTCGACCGGCTTCAAGTGTCGTCCCTCCATGTCGAAAGGCATGGTTCCGGACCTTAGGTTGAACGAGCCAACCCATGAATGGACTGGGTCCAGCTCGAATTGGGCAAGCAAGGGGAAGACCTGATCCTGGTCTGCCAATCCTCCTCCTCCCCTCTTCACATCCAATCTGCAAAGAGTTCCTCCTGGAAAGTTGCACCAATTCGCCACGGCCACGAATCCCAACAGAGGAAATCCCTTATGAAGCATCTTCACCTGCGATCGGAAGGATCTACTACCACCCCAAGGTTGTGATTTCCGACGACAGAGTTTTGAGCAAGCAAGGACAGCAACTCCTGATATCCCTCTAACCTCAATCTCTCACTCACGGTATTAAAGGATGATCGTATAGGGAATTTTATTTTATTTCCACTTTTTTTTGCTCCTTTTTTTTCTTTTTTTTTCTTTTTCTTGCTTGAAACGGTACTTCCCTCTCCTTACTGATTGCTGACACACCAGGTGCTGTTATGAACAATGGCTCCTTTGAACATTCAATTCTTGTTCCTTCGATCTCTTCTTTTCCTTCGGAACAGACCAGCTGCCGAAAAAGGATCCTTGCGGCCTTGTCTTAGTATTTTACAATGGTGGATGGGCAGGGGAAGAAGGGGGGGAAAGAAAAGTTAGGGGAGAGGATGGCAAAAGTTTCTGTCGGCGCAAGCATGAGCTATATACCCCTGTCCACTCACAGACGCCCGCCTCTGAAGCCCGCCCTACCCAACCTCCCGCACAAACCTCGTTCCACTCTGGGACTTGTGGTTCAGCTGAGAAAAGTGAAAATCCAGGAAGGGGCACATTTTCGTAAGATGGCGGAGAGGAGAGTGACCAAAATCTCGAGAATCGCAAGCATGCCACTGGGCCTTCTCAATCTCAGTTGAACCGATTCACGCATTTTCGGAAGTTAATTTCGGGGGAACGGGGCTTGGAGGATGGAGCTCTACGGATGGCGAAAAGTGAGCCATTTTATCCCAAACATTTCGAGGAAGGTAGAACGAATTCAGGCGCAACTCCATCGGCTCTTACACCTGAGGTATCCAGAGAACCTGCCATAGCCATTAGCTTGGTCGGAGAGGGGGGCGAGAGCCAAAATTCACCCTTCATCGAGGCCCTACATCTCAGCCGTCGATGCGGGGCAAAGAGAGGAAAAATAATAAGAAAAATAAAGCAATCTCCCCTCTTCATCCGTGCCTTTCGAGGCTTTAATTCAAGGGTTGAGAATGAAGCCTTGCTTTCGTTCGCTGGCCGATTCAGGGGAGAACGTGGTTCCGGTTCGCTTCCGGTTCCTCCGAGGAGGCCGACATAGGAACGAGCACATTAAAAAAAAAACTTGTACGGTGTATGCGTTCGCAAGCACAAAAGGAAGGAGAGAGGAGGGCATCCCCTCTTCGACTTGATTCGCCTTGGTTCTCTCTTGACATCAACGAGCTGAGGAAGCAAGAACGAGGCTGATCAACTAGTGAGGAAATGAGCTCTTCAGGTACTGAGGTGTCAAGCCCCTACTCATGGAAAATAACCTTTTAGGCAGGCCAGGAGGGTCACTTGCAACCCTCCTCACAACAAGTGCCAAGCCACCGCATCCTCAATTTTTGACGATAAGGCGACTCAAAGGCGACAGGTTTTCCTCCATTCTTGGGGGTTCTCTTTGAAGATCCAGCGCAATCAGTACCTCGAATCTTCGATACGGAACAAAGGGAAATCCCTCACACGGTTGCCCAGAGCCCCTCACTTTGTTGAACAATCCAGCGTCCAGGCGATCCCTTATAAAAGAGACCGTGATATCGAGAAGATGGTGCGATGGAAATCCCCATCCTCGACCTCGTTATCGTGCCCAACTATTCTCCCGATTCCTCGTCACCACTGTAGATTGACCCCTCGGCTCCAGAGCAAAGATGATCAAGGCAAAGTTTGCCTTCTTTTTCCTCGTCGCATCTTTGCTCCTGTCCAAGTCTTACTCCAAGAACCCCTGGGTCCGCGGGCCAGGAGAGCCGCCAAATCTGGTTCACCTCAGCCACAGAGGCTTGGACTCGATCCAGCCACGAAAACCTGTTCTCCGACGCTACCATACCCACCGTAACTCGCAGTCAAAAGAGAAGAGCGGAGCCTGGGCCGAACACTTTGTCTACGATGGGAGTAATCAAGAGAGTAGAAACCTGAAGGAGATCATCCTCCAGGAAGCCGGAAGACCGTTTCTGGTCGGAGGTTGCATGAGGACACCGTACATGATGGGCTCTAGCCCTTACCCTTACTACACGAGCTGCGCAGCGAATCAGTTCAACGCCATCGTAGCAGAGTACGAACACCAGTGGGATGTGACCGAGCCCAGCCGAGGCCAATTCTCCTGGGGCCCTGGAGATATGATAACCGACTGGACGGCCAACAACGGTATGACCATGAGGTACCATGCGGTGAGCGAGATTCGAACCATAAGCGTGGAAACTTTATCGCCCACCACCCCCCACCCCACTTCCCTTTTCCTCTTTCTCGACCGTGTCATTTTTTTTACTCATCATTTTTCTTTTCACCACTTCTCTCACAGATGTTGTGGCACGACGCTCTCCCCGGATGGGTGAAGCAAATCCAAAAGGGAGAGGACCTAATGTCAGCTTTACAAGACCATATCAAAGGAGTTTGCCAAGTGAGTTCCGGTCATCTTACATCAAAACAACGATGTTAGCCGTTGTCCCTTCTCTTCTCCTGTCACTGATCCCGTCACCACTACCCCCGTCCCCCTCTTATTCCCCCTCCGTTCCATGCCAACTGGTGGAAACAGCACAACCGGGACAAGATGAAAATTTTCATCGTCATCAACGAACCGATCTCCGAGGATGGGAGCAGGGAGAGGGATTACATCTTCACGAGCTTCCATGGCTACGACTACTACAGCGTCGCCTTCAGCGCAGCCAGGCAACATTGCGGTCCGGACGCCAAGCTCTACATGAACGAGTACGGCATAGAGTATGGCCGAGGCACCAAGTTCCAGACCTTCCTCCAGCTCGTCAAAACCCTCTTGCACAGGAGTGAGTTTCCTTTTATTTGTTTATTTCCAGTCCATCCTTTCTCGTGGCCACTTGTAGCGAGTCTCCACCATCCTCTGACACTTTGGGAGTCGTCCTTGATCGCTCCAGACGTTCCGATCGACGGGATAGGTTTTCAAGGTCACTACTCGGATGGCAAGGGACCCAGCATCCAAGAGCTTGGAGAGGCGATGAAGAAGTTCACCGACTTGGGCTTGGAGGTCATGGTCACAGAGTTGGACGACGGCCTCTCCCAACCCGACGATCAGAACATCGTCAAGAATCAAATCCAATCTTTCGTCGACACCGTGAGTTGGTCATTCTGGCCCATTTCTTTCCAAGAGAGATCGAAGAAAGGATAAGAAGAAAGTAAGCGGAAAAGGTTTCCCAGGGAGAGCTCTCTAACATTAACCTTCCATCCCTACCAAACCCTTTCTGACCTCCCTTACCTCTCGACGGAACCAAAAAAAAAAAAAAAAACTCCCTTACAACGAAAAATGAAAATATAAACAAAACTAATTGTAAAAATGGACCAGATCGGAGCCTGCCTTAAAAACCCCAAGTGCAAAGGGGTATGGCACTGGGCGGTCGATGACAATCTCTCCTGGAGGACCACGTTCGACAACAGGCAGTCGCCCACCCTCCTTGACAAACAGTGCAAGCCAAAGTTCACCTCTTCCGAACTCGAATCGGTTCTTTGACATCGGCATCTAAAATAAAAAAAATAAAAAATCAAAAATTAAAAAAAAAAAATCACGCAGAAATCCGGGAACCCGTGGGTCATCGGAACATTTCGAACTTGGATTCATAAATTTAGACTTGCGAAAGAGCGCCAGGAGCCCTGATAGCTCAGTTGGTACGAGCGTGCGACTGAAGGTCCCCCATGGGATTTCGCAAGGTCACCTGTTCGACCCAGGTTCAGGGCATTCATTCTTTGTCTTAAGAAAATTGAGATTTTTTTTTTCTTATTTTAACAACGCCCCTCCTCCCTGGAAAGACTTCTCAATCATCCTACTCTCCAATTCATGAATTTTGAGGTCAAGTATATTATTTCACACTCAATTTCCGATGTGCCGTCATTTTTTTGTTTCCTTCCTTTTTTGCGTCCTCGAGTTTGAAATTTCTCTCCTCTCGCCAATCATGTCACTGGTGGAATACAAATGTGGAGGGGTTCCAACCAACTCCTTCGAGCCCCCAGTGCTGCTGAAATCAGGCATCGGATCTGACAGCCTCCAGATTCTCTGGGTACCTGAAGTCGTTGGAGTATCTGACTTGGTCCATGATCCTCATGGTCAGGAGGGATTCGTCTGTGAATCGAGTGGAGAAGGAGGAGGAACGACGCGGGAGGCAGGTTCAGCGAGGCGAACGAGTCTCACCGCGGTGGGAAACGAGACCTTGGTTCGTGGATGTATGCACTCAAATCACTTACCGAGAGAACACCTTTCCAGCTCCTTCTTCCCATCTCTGAGGCCTCGGGCGCAGGCGTCAGCTTCCCAGAACATGCTGGTAAGGTTGAAAGGAAACCAAGGTTTAGGAAAACAGTAGGTTGGTATTTGATCTGATATCGTACATTCACCAATGCCTCGTCTCGCCCGAGATTCGATCGGTCGGCCTTCGACTCTCTGGGGAAGGAGCACTCACCCATGGCCTGGGATCTCAAACACCTTTGTTTCCGGTTGCCCAAGCTTGCCTTGCTCGTCCTTGAGTGTCAGCACGTACGACTCTGGCCTGTAGGTTGCCCAAGGGATAGAGAGAGAGCCCTGGAGATATGAAGCGACACCCGAATCGTCGGGGGCGGCGTGGTAAGCATCGGCTATCCACCAAATTTACTAGTAAGGTAGGAGGATCAAATCAAGAAAATGGAAATGAAGGAAGGGAGGAGAGGGGAGTGGAGAGCAGAAGCAGCTGGAAGGACTCACCTTTTCACCTTGGACATGAACGCAATAGGCTTCAGATGTCTTCACGCTCAGGCTTGAGGTGACGATGCCCTGAGCGTGGACACCTTCAAAATCGAGAATCAGCGTGGTGTACTCATCCACCCCCGTCAAAGGAGTCTTCATCAAGCTAGAAGTGACCTTTGGCACGCTCTTCTTGTTGTCCGGGTGTTGGTAAAGCAAGAGCATCTGCCAAGTCAGAGGATAAATGCCAAGATCGAGGAGGGCGCCCCCTCCGAGTTCAGGAGCATAGAGCCTGTGCTTCGGATCCGGTTTGAAAGCCATGGAAAGGTCCGAGTAGACCCGGTGAATCTTTCCGAGGACCTTGTCCTCATGCAGCAGCTTCTGGATCGCGATCGTGATAGGGAAGAATCGTGTCCAGACTGCTTCCATCAGGAAGAGGTTCTGTTGAGTTGGAGCGACGGATGAGAAAAGGGTGGTAGAATTGTTCATCATGGCATCAAGCTCTGCACAATGATAGGGCAAGCTCGAGCTCAACTAGTCCGTGGATCCTTGCTCACCTTTTGCCTAGCGACCTTTACCAAGTGAGCGGATTGTTTCTCGTTGATCGTGAATGGTTTCTGCGGAGGAGAGTGACAAAATGAATGGATCGGATGAGCAACTTGACGGTGCGAAAAGGTGACCTCGTCTGGGACATGTGAAAAGTCGTCTCCCAGATAACCCACCTCGCAAAGAACATTCTTCCCTGCCTCCAAGCAGAGGAGGGCATTCTCGTAGTGGTGAGAGTGCGGGGTAGCGATGTAGACGATGTCGATCTTGTCATCCTTGACGAACTCCTCATAGCTTCCGTAAGCGTTACACTGGCTCGGGTCTGCACCGACCTCGCTGATGAAGGCCTTGGCCCTTTCGACCGATGAAGAGGAAGCCACAGCTACCACCTTGTGTTGGATATCGTCGACCTTCCTGGACTTTGGGTCGGTCAGAAGGTCCTTTGTGAACGTGGTGGCGATGCCACCCGTGGCCAAGATACCCCAGTTGCAGGTGTGGGCAGTCATTTCTGAATACTTTCTTCGTTCTGCGGGTAGAGGTGGAAGGGAGCAGACTCTGTTGAGGATCAGGATGGGCGAGAATGGGGTGGGTTATCGGTGGCAAGAAGGGGGGAGGGGGGGGGGGGTAGGAAGAGAAATTGGTAGAGATGATGCCCTCTGGCCTTTTGGTTTTAAAGTAGGGGAGAGAGGGGCCAATCTTTCACCCCTCTGGAAGAAAGTTTGGGGGAGAGGCAAGGCATGCCGCCAAAGAACCAAAAGGCACAACCACAATGCTGTATTTGGTGTTCGTCTGTACCTGTGCATATGGTTCGGAGGATGGCCCGAGCTCGAGTGGAAGGTGGAACTGGGCTGAGTCAGCCTGCCCGGCGAAAGTGACGTAGAGTGAGGCGACCAAGTCACGCGCGGCAAAAACAAAGAAAGTGGAGGAGGAAGAGGGAAGCGTCAGAGTCTTCAAGTTTGTGGAGGTCGAAACCAGCCAAAAGCCCAAGCCAGCCGTTCTCGATCTGCCCTCCGCCCCACGTTCTCTCTCTCCTTTTCGATCTCGTCCTTCCTCTGTCTCTCCCTCTCTGTCTCTTCCCCCTCTCTTCCCCTCCCCTTGGTTCATCATCGTCCAAGCCATACTTCCCATACTTCCCTTTCCTTTTCAAACTTGTACCCACTCCAAAACCAGCAGCACTGACGAGTACTTCGCATCCGCATCGCCACTAAGATTCGTAAAGCGGCCTCTTCCTTCCATCCCGTCTCAGGTCGCGCAAAAGCATCAGCACGACAATGGCTTTCCAAATGTCTACCATCACCAGGGGAGGTCAATACGGCCTGGTGAGTCACCTCTGGCTATTCACCGTCATGGTTGTCCGGTAGTCGGGAGGAACAAGGGGAAAGAAATCTCTGATCAAGCGTGGCATTCCCCACCCTCACCTCTCACTACCAGGGAATGCTGGCTTCTTCGAGGATGGGCTTGAATGCATCCATCAGGCAGACTCAACTTAGAGCTTTCTCAATGAGACCGGGTCAGACCCTCGGCCAAAAGACTCCGCCACCCGGCTCCCAGGTCAAGGTCGTGGCTTATGCCAGGCAGCGGCAGGAGTCGGCTCGCTCGATCCATCGGCTCGGTCTCTTCGCCGGAGCATCTATCCTGGCTGGTGCTGGTCTGAATGCTTTAACCAAGGATAGGATCGCCTGCGGTGAGTGAGACTCTAGATTGCGTTCATTCGTTCGTTGATGCTCCCTTGTTCTAACCTGTTGATGAGGATACCTGCCGCACGCACCCTTGATCTTCCACCGTTCGAATGACAGAGCCCGCATCTAGGTCTTATGACGCACCATCCATCAGCGTTTCTTCTCCAGCCGCTCCGCAGGCTACCGAACCAGTGCCACAGAGCACCGTCAATGTATACCAGCTATCTTTCGGGACTGTTTGGTGAGGACCTATTCGCCTTTGGCTTCCTTTCAATCGGAACCCCCACCATGGATTCAGGTCATCTCCGCCACATGTCCTACTGACCTTGGCTTTTTTGTTTCCTTTTATTTGTTTTGTTTTGTTTTGCTTTTCTTTTCTTTTCTTTTTTCTTTTTTTTTTTTTTTTT